CGCGGCGCCGGCCGCTGGACATCCGCCTGGTGGCCGCTGCCTACAACGACCACCTGACACTGGCAGTGGCCCGGTATCTGGAGAAGGCCTTTGGAGGATGGGTTTTACCGGGGAAAGTTTAGCCTGCAGCCCTGGGAGGCCGGGACAGAGAAAGTGGTGCCCAGCAAGGCAGAGGCAGGCACTGATGATTGATCCCATCATGACACTGCCTCCTCCATCCACATCCTCCTGCGCCCTCCAGGGAGCAGCTAGTGGTGCCTCCAGCCCAGGGACCAGCCAGGCTGTTACCACTGGAGTTCTCATCCCTGCAGCACCCTCAGTCAGGGAGAGACCTGCCCTCCTTGCGCCTCTCGGGAGCCTCAGTGCTGCACACTAAGGGTGTCCTGCCTGCATCCTGCCTGCAGCGGATACCCACCTTCTGCTGGGCATGGAGATGGCCAGCTCTGTAACACTTGCTGCTTTGAAGACACAGAGTGAGAGCTGAGCAGAGGAGTTGCTGCTGGACTGCTCTGGGGAAGCTGCCCAGCACCCCTCAGAGCCCTCCAGGCACATGGAGGTCCTCCTTGGCCTGACCCTGCCTGAAGGGCTGGACTATGCCCACTGCACCCAGGTTCACTGGCCCCCACAGCACCCCTGAGCTGCCATGGGATTCCCCCCACCTTCTGACTGAAAAGGGAGAGGGGCTGAGGGGGCTGAAGGAGCTGTACGCACACCTCGCTGGCAGCACACTGTGGAGTGGGGGTGTGCCAGGCTCTGCCACTTGTGCAGCTGATGTGCACAGGAGAAGCAACTTGCTCTTAAGAGCATTTGCAGCTCTGGCTAAAGCATCTCCTGCCTGTGTCTTCCCTTTCTGTCTTGGGGGATCACCTGGCCAGACTGGCATCCCCTGCCCCCTACCCTGCCGAGCTGCCTGGCCTCTGCCCTAGGAGCAGGCAGGCAGCGATGTGGGCAGCTGGTCTGGGCAGGCAACAAGCACAAGGTGTTCCTGGTGAGGGCAACATTAAAGAGCCTGTCCAGTCTGCTGCGGCCATGTGTCCTTGTTCCTGATGGCTGTGAACCTGCCAGCTCCCCACTGGGCACCAGCCCCATCTCTGCTTGGGATATGTCGAGGCTGCTCAGCATTGCCAGCCACAGAAGCAGTGCAGGGAAGGCAGTGGAGGTGCTGGCATTGTCCCCGGAGTGGTACTGACATGCTACAGGGCTCTCGTTTTGGAATGCCCAGGCTGACGGTGACTGCTTGGTTCCTGGCAGAGCTGAACTGTGCCCGTGAGCTCCATGTGCTGCCATCGATGGCTTTGATAGTCTTCTAACAGTTGCACAGTTCTTGGGAAGCACAAGCTCAGATGTGTCCTGCCTTTGATGGGCTGCCAAAGGCCTGAGGTGGGTCTCTTGGGGTCTCCAGGCCAGAGCGAGGCACAGAGTCCCAGCCCTGCACATCTAGCCTGCAGCACTAGTTTTGGCAAGGATAGAACCTCATGGTGTTGGCTTAGTGGGGTTGTCGTGGTCTGTGTCTGCCCTGTCATGTGTCACCCCTGGGCCTGCCAACCCCTTTGCTCCTCTCTTTCCCCATGCCACCATGGTCCCTGCAGGCGTGGTGCTGGGTGCTGGGACAGGATGCAGTGGAGTCCTGGGGTAGGCTGTGCCTCGGCTCTGGCACGCAGAGGGCACTGCTGAGCACCCACGGAGCCTGCAGCCTGCTTTATCACGGCCAACGAGGAAGCAAGGAACAAAAAAAACCCAAACCCTGGCTCATGAAAAAAGGCAGAAACCACCAAAGCCAAATCACGTGCTGTGGGGTGTCTGCCAGCACACTGGTGCATCTCCCTGCACGGTGGCACAGAGAACATGGACCTGTCCCTGATGTGAAGGGAGCCTGACAGCTGAGGAGACCCTGATGACACTTCCAGTGAACCCTCAGAGCCGAAAGCTGGGTTGGTGAGCTGAGGGTGTTACATTTAATGGAGTGTGGTGGGCACAGGTGTCTTCCTGTTACAGCAGAGGCCAGCAAGGAACTACGTGGGTCAAGGTAGGGGGGAGTGCTGGTGCCTCAGGGTGGCCTGACAACGGGATGCAGGCAAAGGAGATGCATGGAGGAGAGGAGGTTAATCCCTGCAGTCTCAGCCATCAGGGTATCCACTAAACCATCCATACTTTTATGGATGCCACAAGGGGAGGGTTGCTGGGATTTTCCCTCTGGCCAAGGCAAAAGGGGGGCAGGTGTGCTGGGGTCGGCAGGGACCTGTGACTGCCCTCACTGCTGCAGGAGTGCTGGTACCCCTGAGCCACCTCCCCCTGCAGCAGACGCAGCCCTGTTCCTGCCCAAGCAGGCAGCTGGTCCTGGGGACTCCATCAGCTCCCTGGATCTGTGCCTCCCTGAGTCTCAGGAACAGTCCTGGGGGCTCTTTCTCCCTCGAGGCAAAACCGCTGCTGCCTTCACCAGAGTCTGCTGCAAAGCTGGGAGGGCTTGTCCTGACCTCAGAGTGGGGAGAATCCCTAAACCACCAGTGCTTCAGCTCTGGTGTTTTGGAGGTCTCACCTGAGTCCTCGCCTGCGGTTTGCCGCTGCCTGTCCCTGCTTGTTGGCTGCTCCTCCTTGTGTCCAGCTCTTGAATACT